ACATACATACATACATACATACATACATACATACATACATACATACATACATACATACATACACGCATATTCAGGCATACTCAGACATATTCTTGCACACAAGCACTGGTATTGTCATGATGCAGAACTAATAAAACCCCGCTTCAATTGGGTCGTCTTGTCCTGTTTTGGTGAGGATGCATAGCTTGTAAGGAAGAAACAGTTGATCTGCTTGGCCCTAGCAACGGCTTGAAGCCTTTGGTAAGACCAAGATCCAGGTCTGAGGCTGGCTGTTCGTTGGGAGGAGAGATTAAAGTTCTGCCTCTTTCTACCGGACTCGAGAAAGGGTGTCTTGAGAGTGGCGGTAAAATTAAACGACTGCTGACTTGGACAATTCCCATCTTGTCTGGTGGTTGAGTTGAGGATGCCATGAGACTATCAATAGACCTTGAATTGCAAGGCGAAGGTGAAGTTGAGGGTTGAGGGTTGAGGGTTGAGGGTTAACGGTTGACGACTGACGACTGACGGCAAGAGTTACTCACACAACCACATGATTCTGCATCAATTTGTCATAAAATTTCGCTTGTCTGTGCCTTTCAAAAATACATTTTCATCCAAAGTGGGCTGCAGTTGCAACCTCGTCCGAGTCTCATCAGTGGCTCCAGCGAGACTCGGAACCGGGTCGTTCGAGTCGTGGCAAACCAAGTTGCCAGACTGCACAGCCTGACACACCAACAGCCTCCGGTGCCACCGGGTCACAGAGCAGAAGTGACTTGCAAAGTGTGTGTTGGAGAAAGCGTAATACTACTGCTTAAAATCATCTTAAGCGACCTGGGGCGACAAAGTGTGTGTTCGAGATGTCTTTTTTTGCCTAATTCGCATTTCGTCTCGGCCAAACTGATTTACTGGTAGTCTCGAAACTTTACTCCAATACGAAAATAGGTAAGTTAGTCGATTGGTATAGCAAGTATACATTTGCTTCATCGGCACTCCAACCTGAATGAGAACAACTTTTGGGAAAGCAAGGCCATGTGAAATTGAATGAAAATGTCAGCTCAACTCATATCATTGTGGGACAATTCTTCTTCTACCAGTCCTTTATCACCTCAGACGAAATAGGGTGAATACATCTCATACTACTGATTTACTGGTAGTCACGAAAACAATACTTGATTCGAAAAATAAAGTAAAACAGTCGTTTGTTATAGCAAATATACGTTGCTTCATCGACAATCCCACCTGAATAAGAACAACTTTTCGGAAAGCAGCCCTTCATCACCTTAAACGAAATTGGGTGAATACGTCATATTGCAAAGTGTGTTTTAGAAAAACTGTAATACTACTTCTTAAAATGATCTTAAGCGACCTGTTTGTTCGAGATGTCCTTTTTTGGCCAATTCGCATTTTCGTCTCGGCCAAACAAGTTGGAGCGGCCTAACTTCGTCTGTTGGTGTGCATGCACGAGGAGGCCACCCTGTCGGCCTGGTCTCCGTTGTGGACGGTCACTGGCACAGTCTCCGAGGCAGACAAAGACCCCCCTCCAACTCCATCCCATTGACTGGCGGAGTCGAGCGGCCAACATCCCAAATGCCCATTGGCCAATACTGGCGCCCCCGCCACTTCGAGTCCGAGACACTTGGAGTGTTGACCGACCCGTCGTCACCCACTGGCAAAGCGACACGTCAGCTCTGTCCCCCTCTTCCGGAAACATCTGCTCCTGACTGGCTGGCCGGCTGGTTGGCTGGCCGGGGCGTTGACAGATCCGGCCGACAGAGTGGACGGGCGGACCTCAGTCATGGCGACAATCCAAATGCAATTGGATACAAAGAAAAGATTTATTTCTGAAAAAACCTCAATACGACTTGGTCATGTTGGTAGGAAGACTTAGACCACACCATCTCGGTCTCCATACTTCCGATTTAACTATGTGTTTTACCGAAGGTATAAAGACCAAGATGGTGTGGCTTTTTGTGTGGTGGCAGTCTCCTTTCGTGGTACAGAAGTGGTTTGACCTTGTTTTCGCAACTTGGTCTTGTTGATAGGAAGACTTAGAACACACAATCTTGGTCATCATACCTCCGATTAAACTATGTGTTTTACTGAAGGTATGAAGACCAAGATGGTGTGGCCTTTTGTGTGGTCACAGTCTCCTTTCGTGGTACAGAAGTGGTTTGACCTTGTTTTCACAACTTGGTCATGTTGGTGGGAAGACTGAGAGGAACGGATCTATTCCAGAGTCCATTGTATGCATGATCATTTCCAAAGTTGAACCGTGGACGTGGTACATTCCAAAACGTTTCGCCGGCATCGTCAGTGAGTCTTGCCAGTCTTAGCAACACACGACAACTCGTCAAAAAGACAACTGAAGCCGATCATTTAACCAAACGTGTGCTAAACAGTTGTGGTATCGCCCCTTTTGCCATGGCCTATTCACATTTCCGATTTCCTCGTATCACACCGTCACTGTTAAAATTTGTACCGTGCCTATTTCGATGTTGTGTGGTGTACTCCTTTCAGCAGCATGCATGAAACCCTTGCCACTCCACGCTGTCGTTTTCACCCCCTTCACCCCCTTCACTCCCTTCACCTGTTACAATTTGTACCGTAACTATTTTGATGCAGTGAAAAAACGAGAAAAGGCAATATCCAAGAAGCCATCGAAATACTGACCGAGAGAAATCTAATGAACAGGATACTTGAAGAAAGCAGGATCATCAAAAAGTTTACACATCGCCTAAACAAACTGGGAGAAGACCAGGCAACAGCAAGATCAGCAAAAAAGAAGACGACTGGATCTTTAATTTAAAGGAAAGCAACAATGAGAAGCCAAGAGGACACGTTTTCAGTGAGCATAATCAAAACAAGTAGAATCACACAACAGAATGGAGCATATGAAGTCGTAGATTTGATATTACTCAGAGACTCTAGCCTCGAATTGGTCACACTAGACGCAGGGGAGGAGGACACCACACGACATCGAAATGAGCACGGTACAAATTGTAACAGTGAAGGTGTGATAGGAGCTGATAGGAAATGTGAATAGGCCAGGCCAGAAGGGGAGATATCACAATTGCTTGGCACACGTTTGGCCTTTTTGACGAGTTGTCGTGTGGCGCTAAGAATGGCGATACTCACTGACGATGTCGGCGAAACGTCTGTGAATGTACCACGTCCACGGTCCGACTTTGAAAATGATAATGCAAAGGAGGAGGCGACGCAACTAGTCTTTTCTTGTTTTGGTTCTAATGATAGTCAATTCTCTGTACTTTTAGCTCACTCTTTCTCTCTCGCATTGAGACAAAAAACCAAAAAGCAAAAATAGGCTCATCAACAAAACCAGACGTGTCCGACCTTGCGCAATCGGAGTGATGGTTAAAACATGT